TTTTTTTGTGTTGGTTCGTATCTATTTTTGTTGGTTTTATGATTCTGCTTTCCTGTAGTGTCAGAACTGATTTCCTCTGTGTTAATCTTAATTCTTAAAATTGTTGTTTCTTGTGAAAATTTTTTCTTTAGGTTATTTCGCCACAACCAGAAACTTCTTATTGTCCTTATGAAGGAGAGTTGCTAGGGAATTCTACAGTGGTAGGAACCATGGTGCTGCACGAAACTAATCCGTTTGTGGTAATTTGAGTATAACTTTGATTTTAATTTTTCGTGTGAACTTTGAACATTGCACGTTGTTTCTGTTCGCTTAGGTAGCTGTGAAATGCAACTGTGTGAGTACAAATTATTTTTTTATTTCGTTATTAGTATTTATAAACTTTAAACCACACTGATTTTGATTCACTAAAGAACTGAGCTTCGCTATTGAAATTACTTTTTAGGATTTGAATACTCGTTGCAGTGAAGAAAGTTCTTCAGCATTTCCGACATTCCCTGTACAGAGGGCAGATTATTTTTGCCCCTCTTCAACATCTGCTCAAGGGGTTCTCAGCTCTTCATTGCAATCACCTTATGCACATCGGAAAGGGTCTTTCGCCTCGTAAGACGCTTCTCTTTGAAAAATATCTTACTAGTTGTAGTTTTTGACAGGAAGGGAGGAACAAACTCTGTATTTAATACCGAGGAATGCGCTATCTGTCTATCTTATTTCTTCTTACTTTCCAGTAACGCAACGTATGGTCGCAGTCAGGCATATAATACTCACTGTCTTGATAGCCACCAAACGGAAACGAATTTTGAAAAATTTTGCAACCCACTCAAAACGAACAAAAGGGTGGAGGCTCAGTCGCCAACTTCATCGAGGTTTTTTTAAGCTATATGCTATCAGGTTTGAGCACGAGACCTACTTCCTTTCGAAATTCTGAAAATGGCGAACTGTATTGGTGCTCTTGCTTCAAATATATACACTTGGAGCTTTAGAATGTGTAAGTACATTTCTTCTCTACAGTTAATTTGAAAAGTCTTTAAGGAATCGTTTGTCGTCTGCTGGAAGCTCACATTCAAGCGACGATTCGCCACAGATTGAGGAGAGTGGGGATAGAAAATTGCTAAAGTAAGATGCACACGCGTTTACACTTCCTCGACTTTCTGCCTAGTATTTTCGCATTGCTGTTGCCGTTTTCACATTATAAGCTATTCAAGATCGTGCTTTCAGGGACGCAAGAACAAAGTCTCACGGAGGAAGCTCCAGCAGTAGACGAAAGAAATTGAGCCATATGGAACAATTTGCTGCCAACCGTGCTTTATACGGTGAAAATTTACCTGCAGCTGATGCTTCCAAAAGTGCAAAGCACTCGCCATCGCTTAAAAAACATTCTAGTAATATTTTCTTGTTTTTTCCTATAGTTATTCTTCTACCGTTTACTTTATTATGGATCTTTTACTACCACTGGTTTTTCATTTTAGTTTACCTGTGAAAACTTTCTCAAGATTACCATCCGTTTCAAATTGAAAATTGCAGGAAAGCATTCTACTCAATCCGGATTTAAAAAGAATAGTGCCGGACAGCTGGATTCATCCAGCTTCGTAAACACTTCATTTCAAGCTGAGGACTGGGAAAGTAGACCGCTATCACCCACGAAGCGAGCTCTTCCGCAGCACAGCTAAAAAACTTTTGTTTTGTACATAATGAATCTCATTGCGTGATTTTTATGTAACATTCAAAGAATGCTATATAGTTCAAAAGCGGAGTTCCAAATCGCGGGACTTTCTTCAGTTGTGTATTTAGTATTCAACTATAAGGGTATTATTTTCTTCTTGATATCAGATTTCTTCAGTTCCGAACATGTTTGTCAAAAAAAATTGTTCTTTTTCAGTTCTCATTTCCGGTGGCTTCAAAAATTTACTGCAATAACAGCGATAAAAGGAAAAATAATGTCTTGATGTAGCTTCTCTTATTTGATCCACTTTTAAAAAGTAGACGGGTCAATTTGTCGACTTCTTGTTTCCTTTTTTTTTTTTCATCAAAACGGCTATTTTGGAGAGATAGCGTATATTTGTTAAGGTTTAAAGTAATCTATAATGTATATTTTGAATGCCTTCTTGTATGTAACTTTATGGAAATCAGTTTCTTATATAATCTTCTATTGACTTTTGTCGCCTATGTTGCTTCGTTTTACTTTTCTTTAACTACTTTAATAATGTTTCTATATGTAACACTATGTGGGCACAGCACCACTATATTGCAACTGCTGCGCACATTTCACAGGATAATAATGACTGCACATGTCCAATATGGTTCTTTTTCTTTTTTAAATACTGCGACAGATCAAGGAAGATTTAAGAACGCTCTAGTTAAGCACACATTCTTTAACTGCAGAATACTGCCGAAAAATCGATTACTTTACAATAGAGAGGTGTTAAGAACCGTTTATATTACATCTGATAATGTTATGGGAGTTTCTTGGAAAGATGCGTTTAAAACTGAGAATGAGAAACATACTTTTCTAATGCAACAACAGCGAGTCTTTGTCAATATCAGACTGACTGACCAACTTAATAACTTAGGGTAGTTCTTGTATGTTCTTATGAATACATTTATAGACGGAGGAATTTGTATAAATTTTAAGAGAGCATTACCGCAAAAAATTTTTTTAATTAAAAGCAGGAGAGTTCACCTGAGTTGAAAAAAAAATTTGAAGCACCTACTACAGCATAATAATTTAGTTAACATGATCCCAACTGTTCTTTAATAACCATTCTTCAGTGCACATTACCAAACAGTAGTGATAGCGAACAAGTCGTCAAAACTAATCTGGTGCAGAGTTAGATCCTGCTAATTGAAGGTGATGTTAGGGATTGTAAAAACGTCTAACTTATTCCTGGCCAAATTGCATATTATAGAAAGTTTATATCTTAGCAACTTTTGCGCAAATTTTAGTCCTCTTCAAATTTCTTCGCTGTGAAGTGGAACAGAACAAGGGGCTGATTTGAAAACTACAGAGCTGAAAAAGTTAAAGCACACTGAAAATCAAAGTTTTAGCGGTCGTTACAGGTAGCCATAGATGAATGTTCATAAGTGTGTTAGGGTAATCGTAAATAAAATTTCAAGAATTTTTACTTTGAGTTATCCCGTCTGAAAACAGCTACTGTTTTCTTGAGCATAAATACAAACAAAGCCGTAATAAAATTTAAAACAATAAAAATATTGATGCATTTTTAACAAAAGAAAAAAAAAGGCGGAGTGAGAAAGTTTTGGTTCCTTCAGTCACCATTAAACACCTTAAAAAATAACAAAAGGGAAAAAGAAATGGGTTTTCTTCTTTTCTCTTTTGCAGATGCAAAGCAAACAATAACGCCTCTCCCCTTTATTTTTCCGTTCTATTCCACATAAATCAGTCAAAGCTGTTCTCTGTCGACAGGTTGCCAATTACTCCTCACTAAATACGGCATAATAATTCCAAAAGAAAAAGGGAAAGACGCTAACCATTCGTTCTCGACATATTCGTTATGATTTGTTCCGGCGATACAGTGAGACGTCCAACAAGCCAACAGCAATTCCTGAACCATATACCCGCTCCTTACACCCGTTCCCACTTCTTACCAGTTGTGTACGCAGATCGCTCGCGTCCTCATTTAATTCGACTGTAACTCCAGCGTAACTGTAACGTAATTTCAACCATGTTATTCGCATTCGCCTCCCAATCCGTCGCTTCTCCCTTGTCTATGGGAGCCAGTACACGAGTGGCCGCAGAAAAGACATTTTTGCTAATAGAAATATATAAGAGGCATTTTTAGGCGCGGGAACCAACATCAGCGCTTAAGAGATGGCAAATTGAACAAATTTGATGAAC